AAGGGATACTGGTCTGCAGTTTTCTTGTGGTATCTAGCTTTGGTATCAGGGTAATTTTGGCTTCATAGAATGAGTTAGAAAATGTTCTCACGTCTATTTTTGGAAGAGTTTGAGAAGAATCGGTGCTAATTCTTCTTTAAAAGTTTGGTAGACTTCACTAGTGAAGCCATCTAATTCTGAACTTTTCTGTGTTGGGATGTTTTCAATCTCTTCCCTTGTAATAGGTCTGTTGAGATTTATTGTTCATAGTATTCTCTTATAATCATTTTAATTCCTGTAAGATCACTAGTAATGTCTCCACTTTCATTTCTGATTTTACTTACGAGTGTCTTCTCTTTTGTTCTTTCAGTCTAGCTAAGGATTTGTCAATTTTGTTAATCTTTCAAAGAACCAACTTTTGGTGTCATTGATTCTCTCTATTGCTTTTCTATTACCTACTTCATTTATTTATGCTCTAATCTTTATTAATTCGTTATTTTCAGGTTGCTTTTGACTTTCTCTTTCTTTTCTAGTTTCTCAATGTGTAAATTTACATTATTGGTTTCAACTCTGTCTTAGTTATCTAGTGCTGCTATGACAGAAATACCACAAGTGGGTGGCTTTAACAAACAGAAATTTATTTTCTCACAGTTAGGAGGCAATAAGTCCAAATTTAGGGTGCCAACTCTAGGGGAGACTTTCTCTCTTTATTGGCTTTGGAGGAAGGTCCTTGTCTCTTTTGAGCTTCTGCTCCTGTGCAATCTTCATGCTGTTTAGAATCTCTCTTCCTCCATCTCTGCTTGTTCACTTGCTTGTTTAATCTCTTTTATATCTCAAAGAGATTGACTTAAGACACTCCCTACACTAATACTATCTCATTAACATAACAGCAGGATATACATTCTTCTCCAATGCACACAGATCATTCTCCAAGATAGATCATATGCTAGGTCACAAATCAAGCCTCAAAAAATTAATAATTAGGATTTACAACACATATTTTGGGGAACACAGTTCAAGCCATAACAGAATCTTTCTTCATTTTTAGTGTAGTCGTGTACAGCTATAAATTTTCTTCTGAGTACCATATAACATGGGTTTTGGTATATTTTCCTTTAATTCTCATTTCATTTGTCTCTAAGTATTTTCTAATTTTCATTATGATTTCTTCTTTGGCTCATTGGTTGTTTAATAGTATAGTATTTAATTTCCACATTTTTGTGAAATTTTCCATTTTTCTTCTGTTATTAATTTCTAATTTCATTCTATTCTGAATGAAGAAGATACTTTGTATGATTTCACTCTTTTATTCAATTTATTGAGGCTTGGTTTGTGGCCTAACATAAGATCTATCCTGGAGAATGATCCATGTGCATTGGAGGAGAATGTATATCCTGCTATAGTTGGGTGAAGTGTTCTTTAAAAGTCTGTTAGGTCTATTTGGTTTATTGTGTCATTCAGGCCTTCTATTTCCTTGTTAATCTCCTGTTTAGATGTTTTATCCATTATTGAAAGTGAGTTGTTTAAGTCTCCACTCCTACTCCCTGGTTTTGGAAGGAATTGAATGACCATGCTCTAATCAATGAGTAGCTGGGAGTCCCTAGTGGTCGAAGGACCCTCTCAATTGCCCTCAGCCTAGTTCCAAGTCCTGCTTAGAGCAACCAAGCCAGGAGTCCCCTTCCAGGTAGACTCGTCAGGTGGGGGTGGGGATGAGGACCCACCGGGAGACTCTAGCTGTGGGCAGAGGCAGGTGGGCCTGTTCTGGCCACCCCTTCACAATGATCCAGATGCCGTGCATGACCCATAGGACATGCCGCTTGCACTATTCACACCCCTGCCCTTTCCTTGGTGTGCACTTATGGTGGGGGGTGGGGCAAGCTGTCAGGACTGGGCCATGGGATACTGCAAGAGGATCCTGGCCTGGGCAGGAGGACAGTGACGTGATGGACTATGGGATGCTTGCTGCATTACAGCATTGCCTGGGAAAGACTAGACTTTGTCCAAAAGGCTCAAAAAACTCTGTAAAGGTATCGTTCCATCATGGAAGAGGAGGGAATAGGGTGCAGCCATTCCTGAGCATCAGTCTGCAGGGCCCTCCAAAAGTTGAATGCTGGGGTCAGCCTGGCAGGCAGGGCTGTGCTGGGGGCTGAGCACAGTGGGTTCTTTCCCTTCCCCCAGAGAAATGGTAGCAGGTGCTTCCTGAGTGCCTGGGGCAGCAGCCCCCACTCCCTAGGAAGGGAGATGGGAGGCCCCAGAGCCAGGGCTGAGACCACAGGAGGAAGAGCCTCCAGAACAGGGCTAAGGTCTGGGGGGTGCCAAGAAAAGCCCTGCCCCCTAAGATATGAGGCTCCCCCAAGTTCCCAGACAGCAGGACCCTAGCTTCAGATAAGAGGGCAGGGGCAGGACCCTCCCCCATCACCCAACCTGGGTGAGCTTGGAGACCCCACTCCTTGACCAGACCCCCCCAGCGATATCAGTGGCTTTCAGGACACATTGTCACGTCTTCACTTTCACCCTCTCCCTATCTCACCTCCAGTGACTCTCTCCTGCCAGGGTCTCCTAATTCCCACCTGCCTTGACAGCCCCTCAGAGCCTAAACTGATTTCTCCTCCTTGAGCCCTATTCACATGCCTGGGACTCACCAACCACATCCAAAGAAGCACCACTGCCCAGGCATGGCTGCAAGGTTTCTCTAGGACTGCACACTAGCTGCCTGAGGCTAACACCACCAGCGACCGCTCCTGCCTGCCTACAGTCTGTCCCCCAGCAGCATCTCAAAATATCTCCAGCAGACCAAGCCAGATACCTGGACCCTGATCTCAAGCCCTATAAATGTGACTTCAGAAATCCGCAGCCCTGTTGTGCACATCACAACTTTGCTCATGTTCCACGTACACTTTCCCACTATCCCCTCCTCTACCTTGCAGAGACTCCACACCATCCCTCTTCCACTGTAGGCACCCCTCACTGTCCCTCACCCACCCTGTAGAGACCATTCACCACCTCCTTCCCTACTTGGTAGGTGTCCTCATCATCCCTTCCCCCATCCTGTAGAGGCCACTCACCATCCCTCCTCCACCCTATAGGGCCCTCACCAACCCCTCCTCCACCCTGTAGGGCCCCTTACCATTCCCATTCCCAGCCTGTAAGAACCCCTCACCATCCCCTCCCCACCCTGTAGGGACCACTCACCATGCCTCCTCCACCCTATAGGATCCCTGATGATCCCCTCCCTATCCTGTAGGATCCCCTCAGTATCTCTCCTCCACTTTGTAGGGACCCCTCACTGTCTCTCCTCTGCCCTGTAGGGGCTCCTCACCTCCCTCCTTTACCCTGTAGGTCTCCCTTCTCTTCCCTCCTCCACTCTGTGGGGAACCCTCCATCCCCTCCTGTACTCTGTAGGACCCCCCACATCCCCTGCTCCACCCTGTAGGGTCCCCTCACCATCCCTCCTGTACCCTGTAGACACCCCTCTGTCCACTCCTTCACCCTGTAGGGGTCCCTCACAGAAGACAGAGTCCACCTAGAATAAGGACCATACAGGGGCCTGTGTCCTGGGGAGCAGGCTAGGGAGGACAGGGATGGGGAGTGAGGGGACTGCAGCTGCAGAGACCTGAATGTGTCCTTTCAGCCCAGGCATCTGTCAGAGCATTAAGCAGGAAAAGCAGTGAGACCCCAAGATATGACCCCTGTGATGGGACCTATGAGCTCAGGTGTCAGGAAGGACCCCCACCCCCCACCCCAATAGAACACCTGCCTCCAACTGCTGGGCCAACAGTGGGCCATTTCTCCAAGCACAGAACAGATTTAGGTTGCAGAGTTTCTGTGGGCCCTCACTCAGGGCTGGCTCACTGTGGCTATGCTTACTTTGGTTACTGGGGCCCAGGCACCCAAGTCACCATCTCTTTAGGTGAGTCCTCCTGCATCTCCTCTGCCTTGGTCCCTGGAGCCTTCTGTCAGCCTGGTGGGAGCTCTGGGACAAATGGTGCACAGCAGTCAGGCAGCCATCTCCACTGTCATTGGTCAGCTGGGACTGGGAGGACAGGCTGGGAGCTCCACAGGGTTCTGGCCCCACTAGGAACTGTCCCTCAGAGCTGGCAGACCCCTGAGCAGCAGAAGAGGGGCCAAAGCTGAGGGCTGGGTGAGAGAAGCCACAGAGCTTGAAGGGAAGGAAAAGCTGGGGCAGAGCAGGACAGTTTGTGTGTGGGAGGGCCAGTCACACACATCACTGTGGCTGCTACTACTACTACTACTTCAACAGCTGGGGCCAGGGCAAACTGGTCACCATCTCCCCAGGTGAGTGTCTCCTGCAGCCTGCTGGCCAGTAGTGAGTGAGGCTTCAAGATTCCCAGCCAGATGGACATCTCTCAGGGCTGTGGGGTGTTCAGGGCTGAGTGGGGTTTTATGTCAATGGATCAGGCAATCTCATTAGTGTGGCTATGGCTACTTCAAGTACTGGGGCCAGGGGACTCCAGTCAAGGTCTTCTCAGGTAATTGCACCTCAGCCTGGCTCCTCTTTCCACCCTTGGGTCTGTGTGACATTGCCAGGGTCTATGTTGGGTGCTCTGGGATCATGGGCTGTGGACCATGGGCCCCTGGTGGGTTTATCTCAGGGCAGGAACTGTGGCTGTGTCCCTGCGTTTTTGCCTACTGGGGCCAGGGGACCCAGATCTCTGTCTCTTCAGGTAAGTAGGCTTTCTCTCTGTCTCTTTGGCCTGGCCCAGCCTTCTCTGTCCTGGTGCTGGAAAAGAAATTTCTGGAGATCCTTGGCTTGTGTGGATCCTTCAGGGGCCCTCAAGGGTGTATCTGAGGCTGTCTGTGCATGGTTTGGTTCTATGCTCTGCAAAGGACACTTCTGTGGGGTCTTGGGTTCCCTGATCCTGGGACACAAGATGGACAGAGTCATTTTTCATGTTTTGAGACATGAAGCCCTAGTGCTTTCTGGCTTGGACATTAGGCATGGGGTGGCCGGGCTGTGTCAGGGTTTTTGTACACCCTTTAACGGGTCACATGGCAATGTGACTACCTCAGCTACTGGGGCCAGGGGATCCTGGTGACTGTCTCCTCAGGTGAGTCCTTGAAGCCTATCTCTCCCACTTGACTCTTTTTGCTGTATTTTGGAGGGAAATGAGGGTTTCTGTAGCTCAGAACAAGAAGATCTGGGCACAGTCTGGGGACTCAGGCAGGGCTGAGGTGGGGACCACAACTTACAGGGGCAAAGAGTAGAGGTTCCCACTGCCCTCTTCTCCCAGGATCTGCATTTGGGGATTTCTTTGGGGGACTCAGCCACTCTTGGCCTCAGGAGTCCTCTCTGCCCTTTTGGCCCTCACTGGGCTCAAGTTGAGATGGTCCCAAGGTCTCCGAAGGCTGTAGTTGGGCACAAGTTCTTGCCCAGGGTCCTGACACTTTGTCACAATGTGACAATTTGTTCAACTACTGGGACCAGGGGACTGTGGTGACTGTCTCCTCAGGTGGGTCCTCACCCCCTCCCCTACTCAGCATTCTAACTGCACTTCTGGAAAATTTAGAGGGCAACGTCTCCATCTCTGAGAGAAGTCATGACATTTTGGGGGTCAGGAGAGGGAGATCCAATCTCCCTTTTCTCCCAGGATGACTGGTTGGGCATCTGTGGGTGCTGGGACAGGGTGGCTTCTATGGTCAGTCTGAGTGCTGTCTGAGGGTAATCGCTCTCTACTTGTTGAGTGTCTCAGGGATGGTCTGTGTGGGAACGGGAGCTTTTACCTGGCTCTGAAGCACCCACTTTCTGGGCGGTTTCTTGCCCAGGGTCATGTTTGACCTCTGAGTCTGAGGTGGGAGTGTGCTGTCCCCTCAGTCCGATTGTGCAGGTGGTAGTGATCTGGAAGGGGCCAGGTCGGAATGTGAGGTCTCCCTAGGGTGCCTGCAGAGGGTCCCAGGGTAGGGAAGGAAGTGTGAATGGGCTATCGGCTGTGATAGGAAGAGTTGTGAAGATGAGGGTGTCTGGTGCCTGGTTCTCTGAGTCAGCTCCTGGGTTTTTGTGGGGTGGGGAAGAAGATTCTACCATTGTGATTACTACGGTATGGACTACTGGGGCCAAGGAATCACGGTCACTGTCTCCTCAGGTAAGAACAACCATTCGGGCCCTTTGCTTTCTGTTGCTGTCTGTGGGGATTTCTGAGCATTGCAGGCTGGTCAGTGGATGTGTCCCAATAGGGGTTGGCGAAGAGGGGACAGGGGCTGGGGAACCTCAGGGATTGGGGAGCCCCAATGGTTTTTCTGATAACTTTCTGAACTTCATTCAATGCCAGGGTGTCTGATGGACAGTCTGAGCTCCTGAAAGGGAGACCCTGGGCTGGGGGTTTGAAGAGTTTGGCTAGAAGGGACTGGGGACTCCTTTTGCCTAGAGGACAATTTGAGCTAAAGTAGATCTTTAGTTGTTGGAATCATAGTGTTTGTGGAATAGTTTGAGGCTAGCACTGTGTCTATAGAACCACAGGGATGCTACACATGGAGTGCCAAATAGAATACTGTCTTTAGAATTATGAGGTATGTTCTGTGCTAGATCTGGACTTCAAATTCTGTATTGGCTGGAAAAACTATTGCTCTGGTGAGTGAATCCATGAAGGAGTGGTGCAGTTGTTGTCTTGATGGCCTTCCAAAGTCTTCTAGGGACCATACGCCCAGTCCTCCTGAATATGACTTTCTTAGGGATCTTTGTTTGTGAGGACAGTTTCTATGAGAAAATGATTTATTCATTGTAAGAGGTATATTTACTAAATATTAAAAGAGAGGGTACACTTGAAGTGGTTCCCGAGGAAAACAGTCAAGAAAAGAGTTACTTAAAATTTTGAGAGATTATCAAGTATGTTAGATTAAAAAATGGCAAAGTATTTAAAAATCTTATCACTCAATTAACAGCCAAGAGCCATGTCTTTCTGGAATTGATGGGGGCTGCTAATTTAGACAAGAAATAGCAAAATGTGGTACAGTTGTTTCCCCCAATTCAAAACGGAGTTTTGACACTAATAAATCAAACTTGTTTTTAAAAATTAATTGAACAACGTGACTTGAGTTGGAGTCAAGATGGCTGCAGAGGGGTCTCGGACACCTGCAGCAGGTGGCAGGAAGTAGGTCACACAGGGAATCTATTTTAGGAAACAAGAAAACATGGTTGGTAAATTTATAGTTCATGGTTATGAACAAGTGGTTTTCAGATGGTTTTGCCCAGACCCACATATCTGGAAGTGTCCCACTGTGAAAAACAACACCTGGGAAATTTGCATTTCTAAAATAAGGCTCAGATGCTGACTGGAGAGATGAAACTGGAGAGTTCCTTTTTTAACTAGCTGAATTTAATTTTTCAGTCTTAGCTTACCAACTTCTAATTTGTATTCATTTTTCAAAGCAAAGTGTTTAAGAAATGAAACAGTCAGATATGGTTTATGAATGCATTAATGTAACTTTTTATTACTCTGTTGTTCTTTCATATAATTAATCTCAGACCATTTTCCAGCGCCTCAAAGTACTGGTTTTACAATGATTGTGCTCACGATTACTTTTTTTAAGTTGGCCGATATTCTCTTTGTAAATAAGAAATAGTTTGATATTCTGATAAAGTTACCTTCATTTCAGTATTTTAAAATTATTTTATTGTTGTAAAAAGATAGATGACACAACATTTGCCAGTTCAACATTTTTCACATGTACAATTCAGGAAGACCAATTACATCATTCATGTTGTGCATCCATCACCAATACATTTCAATATTTTTGAAGACCACTCTTTAAGTATTAATTTCAGGATTAAAATTTTAAATTCAAGATATATATATTTTTTAACTTTAGGGTAAGTTATAGGTGAAGTATATATATTTGTGCTGAATTATTTCAGTTAAGTGTGTTGGCTGGTGAATTAGAGAGAAATGAGTCAGATAGCACATCAGAAAGGAACTTTGGAACAAAAGACTTCTGAAGTGCAGGTTCTGTTTTTGATCACTGGCCTGGTTCCTGAGTTGAAGAACAGTCCTCGGAGAGGGGCTCTGTGTGGGTCCACCACGGCCTGGCCTTGGCTGTGTAGTCTCCTAGGACCATCTGGGGCTGGGAACATGCAATCCTGGCTTTTGCCACCAATGGCCAAGCTGGCTATTCATGAACTAGCAGTTTTTTTAATGGATTTGGAGGGATTTTTCAATGCCAAAGAGCTTCAAGGGACTTGCGAGTGACCAGACGACAGAGAAGGTAGGAGAAAAGCAGCTGGTGCTGCCACATTTGCTGCTCCTCAATGTTAGTATTGATGTTTTATTCTATGTAAAGGAGAATCAGCCTTTATGTTATTTCTCAGGGGTGAGGGGGAGAGTTGTTTTTGTGATTCTCTGAGTGTCCACGGCCTGGTCCACACTTTCCCTAGAGGATAATTGGAGGAAAAATTGGCAGAAGCTGATCTAGTGCTTACTGGTTAATAATTATATTTTTCATGATGCTTTAAAATATGCACAGTACCACATAAATTGTCTTTATTTAAGCTATAAAGATACCTTTGGGTTTTAGATCATTATTGTGCACTTTAAAGTACTGTACACCTTCTAAAGAGCTTTAAGGTGAAGAGCATATGCTTAAATGGCAAATTCAGATAAAATTTGTATCCTGGTAGTTTTTAATGATGGTTTTTAACTATAAAAAATTTAGTAATACTCAAGGACTTTTTGTAGACTCAGAAGAAAGGAATCCAGGCTAAAAGGATGCCCAGAAAGTAAAGGGGGCTGAGGGGAAAATTTCCTTAGCCTTTTCTTTTGCCGATCCTATAGCCAAAGAGGGGCTTTTTGTTTTTACGGTAGGAAATGCTGTTCCTCAATTCTTGCAAGATTTTTTAAATTAATTTAAAGTTTCCAGGAAATAATCATTGTGGCTGAAGGGTGATAGTCATTTGGAGCCAAAGCTGGTTTGGCTGGGGCCAGAGGACCAGGATTCTGGGTCTCAAGTGGAGATGACCAGGAGAGGATGCAGAAGGGGGAGAGAGGCAGGAGCACCAGGGAACAACTGACCCTGGGCTGAGCCTGGGTACCCAGGACTCCAGGAATGAGATGGCTTTAGCTAAAGTAGTGAGCCTTATTGGGGTTGGTGCCTCCATCCAGGACACTTCTATTGGGCTTTTGGAGCTAAGCTGGGCTGGGCTAGGCTGAGTTGAGATGAGCTGTGCTGAGCTGGGCTGAGCTTAGCTGGGCTGATCTGGGTTGAGCTGAACCAAGCTGGGCTAGCTAGGCTGGGATGACCTGGCTAAGCTGAGCTAGGCTGGATGAAGGTGGGCTAGCTGGGCTGTAATTGGGCTGATTTTAGCTGGGCTAGCTGGGCTGAGCCTGGCTGCAGATGGGCTGAATGGAGCTGGGTTGAGCTGAGCTAGGCTGAGCTGGGTTGAGCTGAACCAAGCTGGGCTAGCTGGACTGAGCTCGGCTGGACTGAACGGAGCTGAGTTGAGCTGGGCTGAGCTGAGCTAGGCTGGATGGAGCTGGGCTAGCTGGGCTAGCTGGGCTGAGCTAGGCTGGATGAAGCTGGGCTAGCTGGGCTGAGCTAGGCTGGATGAAGCTGCGTTAGCTGGGCTGAGCTGGGCTGAGCCAGGCAGTGGATCAGCTAAACTGAGTTGGGCTGAGCTGAGCTGAGCTGAGCTGGGCTGAGCTGGGTTGAGCTGAACCAAGCTGGGTTAGCTCAGCTGGGCTGAATGGAGCTGGGCTATGCTGGGCTGGGCTGAGCTAGGCTGGATGAAGCTGGGCTAGCTGGGCTGAGCTATGCTGGACTGAGCTGGGTTGAGCTGAATCAAGCTGGGCTAGCTGGGCTGAGCTAGGCTGGATGAAGGTGGGCTAGTTGGGCTGAAATTGGGCTGATCCTAGCTGGGCTAGCAGGGCTGATCTGAGCTGAACCTGGCTGCAGATGGCTGAACTGAGCTGGGCTGAAGTGAGCTAGGCTGAGCTGGGTTGAGCTGAACCAACCTGGGCTAGCTGGGCTGAGCTGGGCTGGGCTGGTCTGAACGGAGCTGGGCTGAGCTGGGTTGGGCTGAGCTGGGCTGAGCTAAGCTAGGTTGGATGAAACTGGGCTAGGTGGGTGAGCTGGGCTGAGCCTGGCTGCGGATGGGCTGAACTGAGCTAGACTGAGCTGAGCTGGGCTGAGCTGAGTCGAGTTGAACTATGCTGGGCTAACTGGGCTGGGCTGAATGGAGATGGGCTGACCTGGGCTAAGCTGAGCTAGGCTGGATGAAGCTGGGCTAGCTAGGCTGAGCTGGGCTGAGCTGGGCCAAGCTAGAGTGTTAGGCTGTACCAGGCTAGGCTGAGATGGGTTAGCAGTGCTGAGCTGGACAAGCTGAACTGGGCTGGATGAAGCTGGGCTAGCTGTGCTGAGCTGGGCTGAGTTGGGCAGGCCAAGTTGGGCTGAGCTTAGCTGGACTGAGCTGAGCTGAGCTAGTCTGGATGAAGCTGGGCTAATTGGGTTGAACTAGGCTGGGCTGGACCAAGGTTGGCTAAGCTGGTCTAAGCGGAGCTGGGCTAAGCTGGGCTGATCCAAGCTCAGCTAACTGGGCTGAGCTGGGTTGAGCTCAGCTGGGATGGGCTGGACTGAGCTGGGCTGATCCAAGCTCAGCTAACTGGGCTGAGCTGGGTTGAGCTCAGCTGGGATGGGCTGGACTGAGCTGGGCTGATCCAAGCTCAGCTAACTGGGCTGAGCTGGGATGAGCTCAGCTGGGATGGGCTGGACAGAGCTGGGCTGAGCTGGGCTAGCTGGGCTGGGATGAACTAAGCTGAACTGAGCTTGGCCGAGATGGACTAGACTTAGCTGGACTGAGCTGGGCTGAGCTGGGCTAGCTGGGCTGGGATGAACTAAGCTGAACTGAGCTTGGCCGGGATGGACTAGACTTAGCTGGACTGAGCTGGGCTGAGCTGGGCTGAGCTTGGTTGGGATGGGCTGGACTAGGCTGAGCTGAGCAGTGCTGGGCTAAACTGAGCTATTCTGAGTTGGCTGAACCAATCTAGCCTGAGCCAGGCTAGTCCTGCTGAACTGGACTGAGCTGAGCTGGGCTGAGCGGGGCTGTGTTAGGCTGATCTGAGCTAGACTGACCTGGGCTGAATTAGGCTGAACCAGCCTGTGCTGAACCAAGCTGGGCTGAGCTGGACTATGCTGAGCCAGGCAGGTTGCACTGAGCTGGCCTCAGTTGGTCTGAGCTGGGCTGAACTAAGCTGCAGTGAGTTTAGCTGGACTGAGTTTAGCTGGGCTGAGCTAGACTGAGCTGGATTAGGGTAGGCTGGGCTAGCTGAGTTGGTCTGGACTAAACAGTTTTGCTGTGCTGGGCTGAACTGGGCTGAGCTAATCTGAGCTGGACAAAGCTGGGCAAGCTGAGATGACTTGAGCTGAGACTGGCTGAACCAATCTGGGCTAGCTGGACTGGGTTGGACTGGGTTGAACTGAGCTAGGCTGAGTTGGGCTGACCTGAGCTAGGCTGGATGAAAGTGCGCTAGCTGGACTAAAATGGATTGAGATTGGCTGAACAGAGCTGGGTTGATCTGGGCTTGTCTGGACCAAGCTGGGCTGAGCTGAGCTAGCTGGACTGAGCTGGGCTGAGCTGGGCTGAGCTGAGCAGGAATGGATGAAGCTGGGCTGAGCTGGGCTAAACCAAATGGGTCTGAGCTGGGCTAGTTAGACTGAGCTTGGCTGAGCTGGGCTGGGCTAAGCTGGGCTGGTCTGAGCTGAGCTGGGTTGAGTTGGGCTGCGCTTGACAGGTTGAGCTGGGATAACTCGGGTGAGCTGAGCTGAGCTTGGCTGGGCTGGTCTAAGCCAGGCTGAGTCAATTGAGCTGCTTTGGGATTGCATTGAACTAGGCTGGGCCAAGTAGGTCCAGTGTGATCTGAGTTGGCTGTGTTGGACTGTCCTGGAGGACAGTGTGCTATGCTGACCTCGGGTGACCTGGTGTGGCTCAGGGGATAGGCTGTGCAGCATTGAGCCTAGTCTACAGCCCTCACACACACCCTCCATCTGGACTCCATACACACCAGGCTGAAATGCCTGCATAAGGAGACTTCAGATTGGCCCAAGCTTGACTGAGCTGGTGGGGGCTCCGCTCTACGCTGGCTGAGCAGCCTGTGTCAGGGCTGGGCACCCAGCACTGCTGCTGGATGTCTCAGAGGGGAGGCCGAGAGGTCTGGCTGGAGCCCGAGTCCTGAGCCATCCCAAGGGGGACGCCTTCTCCTCAGGCTGGGCTCTGGGGAGAATTTCCCAGCCAGGGGTCAGCAGTAATAATGGTGAAAGCAAGATGGTGCTGGCAGGAGCGCCCAGGTCTGCCTGCTCCAACAAGAAGCCCCTCCTCCACGTTCCCAAGTTTTCTGTGCAGGGTTTCTGTAGTGAGGGAGGGAGAACTTCCCCAGAGCTGGACAGGGACATGGGCCACACTTTTGGCTCTGTCTGGCCAGGACTTGGAGACCCAGAAGTGGGCTCGGGGGATAGAGGAGGAGGTTGGCAAGGCCCTAGGGAAAACTGCTCAGCTCTGCCCTGACACACTGACCACTTGCATGAAAAAATAGCTCATCACCACTTCCCTCTCTTTTGTGTCCACTCTTGGGTCCTCAGAGAGCCAATCTTCTCCAAGTCTCTTCCCCCTCATCTCCTGTGAGAGCTCCGACCAGAGCCAGGTGGCCTTTGGCTGCCTCGCTCGTGACTTTCTGCCTGGCTCCATCACATTTTCCTGGGACTATCAGAACAACAGCGCTATCAACACCGAGAAATTCGAGACCTTCCCATCTGTCCTATTGGAGGGCAAGTATATGGCCAGCTCTCAGGTACTCTTACCTTCCGTCGAGGTCCACCAGAGCACCGATGAGTACCTGGTGTGCAAAGTCCAACACCCCAACCAAAACAAGGACCTGAGAGTGCCCTTTCCAGGTGAGACCGGGTGGGCCCCTATCTATCTGTGGGTAGGACTGGCCATGGGGATGGGGGCAAGTCTGCCCTGTCCTGATGTCCCCTGACTCCTGAATTCCACCCCCCGCTGTAGATAACCCGACAGAGCTGCCCCCCAATGTGAGTGTGTACATCCCATACCAAGATGCCTTCTCCGGCACTGGTCAGCGCACCTCCAAGCTCATCTGCCAGGCCACAGGCTTCCGTCCCAAGGAGATCTCACTGTTTTGGCTGCGTGATGGGAAGTCGGTGGAGTCTGGCATCATCACAGGAGAAGTTGAGCCTGAGCTCAAAGGGTCTGGGCCACAAACCTTCCAGATCAACAGCATGTTGACCATCAGCGAGATCGACTGGATCAACCAGAAAGTGTTTACCTGCCTTGTGAGGCACAACGGGCTAGACTTCATGAAGAACGTGTCCTCTGTGTGTAGATTGCGTAAGTGCACAGGTTCCCAGGGGGAGGGTTCTTGTCCCAAACATAGTCCTTGCCCCTCCTTGGCCAAGCAGGAATCCCGAAACACACACAGACACACCACACACACACACAACACACAGACATATACACACACACCACATGCACACATACATTACACAAACATACCCACATATACACATGTGCCACACACAGATATACACACACGCCACACAGACATACACACCACATGTACATGCATACACACACACACACATACACAGACATGATCATCGGCTCCCTGAGCCAGCCAAGGGCAGCCCCTCCTTCTCAGTGGGGAGGGAATTCTTACCAGCAGGGGTGCCCCGTGTCCCCCTCCCACAGGACTCCTGCAGCAAAGTCCACCACTGTGCTCTGGGGAAACCACACCTCCCCAAACTTTCTCTCCTACTGGACATTGATCTCAACTCTCTTTTGAAAGCAGCCCCGCTAATAACCATCAGTATCTTCGCCATCCCCCCATCCTTTGCTGACATCTTCCTCACAAAATCGGCCAAGCTATCCTGCCTGGTCACAGACCTGACCACCTACGACAGTCTGCACATCTCTTGGGCCCGCCAGAATGGCGAGGTTCTGAATACCCACATAAACATCTCTGAGAGCCACCCCAATGAAACCTTCAGTGCCACGGGAGAAACCACCGTCTGCATGGAAGACTGGGAGTCAGGGGAAACGTTCACATGCACCGTCACCCACGCTGACCTCCCTTCGCCGCTGAAACAGACCATGTCTAAGCCAAAGGGTGAGGCCCCTTTCCTGGTGGGCTAGGGATGACTGAGGTGGGGTAGCTCATTCACCCTCTTTGGGTCTCGGTTCCCCCACTATGCTCACTGCCATCTCTCTGCCCACAGAGGTGGCCAAGCATGCACCAGCCGTCTACCTGATGCCACCCACCCGGGAGCAGCTGAGTCTGCGTGAGTCAGCCTCTATCACCTGCCTCGTAAAGGGTTTCTCACCCCCTGATGTGTTTGTGCAGTGGCTGCACAAGGGACAGCCTGTGGCCTCCAACAATTATGTCACCAGCACCCCGATGCCCGAGCCTCAGGCCCAGGGCTTCTACTTCACCTACAGCATCCTGAACGTGTCTGAGGAAGACTGGAGCGCCGGGGACACATTCACCTGCATCGTGGTCCACGAGGCCCTGTCCCACCAGGTGACCGAGAGGACCGTGGACAAGTCCACTGGTAAACCCTCCCTGTACAACGTGTCCCTGGTGATGTCTGACACGGCCAACACCTGCTACTGACCACTGGGCCCCAAGGCCCTACTCGGCCCCATGTGGTGACCAGCCGCTATGTGTGTGTCCATGTGTGCATTCAAACTAACCATGTCTGTGGGTGAGAAGTTGTATGTTTATAAAAATTAGAAATAAAAATATCAGTTCACAAGATGCTGGTCCTAAGTGAGCGCTGCTCACCTGCCTGTGCTGCGCTCACCCTGCCTTTGCCTGCAGACCACTCATTTTCCTCCCACCCACTGTCCGACTGCCCTTTGGACACCCTCGCCTCCTTGCTGAATGCTCACCCCCAGAGAGTTCCAACTCCCTGCTCCTCTCGTGCTTTCCAGAAAGATGGTTGGAGCTTGGTCACACAGGCAACATGCATACTTACAGACACACAGATGCACACAGACACATGGGCACAGACACACACAGACACATGTACACAAGGACACATACACACATACATAGGCATGCACATGGACACAGAGACACACAGGGATACAAACACATATGGGCACACACAGACACATGGACACAGACACATGGACTTGCCATATGCCAGACATGGGCATATGGACACATGGACACAAACACACATATGCACACAGACACATACACATGGACACCAATACACAAACGTGCATGGACATGGACACACCCACATGGACACACATAGACACACACAGACACATGGAGATATGGCCACACAGACACACAGGCACACACATGGGCACCTAAAGACACATATGCACACACACAGACATGGTCACACACATACGGACACACATGAACACACAGACACACAGACACATGGACATATAGCCACACAGACATGGCCACACACACAGTTACACACATGGACAGGCACAGACATGGGTATATGGACACGTGGACACATGGATACACATATGTACACACAGAGACACATACACACAGACATACACATGAACACAGACACACATGCACACACATGGACACCAACCACCTTGCACCTTGCCCACAGCTAGCTTGTCCTTCCGCCTCAGCTTGGAGGAGCAAAGGGCTGACCTAGCCCAGACTCTGACTAGGGCTGCAGACCCCAGGCCAGAACAAAGTTCTCAGAGGCCCACGGTGAGCATGACCCCATCCAGGCACAGCCAGGTTCAGCTCCTTAGGGAAGCTCTGGCTTGTGCTGAGAGGGGAGAAAGGGTAGCCCTGGACAGAGCTGTTCCTGCCAGCCCGAGGTCTTAATAAGTCTGCCCACCCCAGGTTCTATCTGTGCATAAAACTAAGAGTCCATGCCCACACCCTGAGAGCAGATAGCCAGGACGTTGGGCCTAAGGACATGGACCCTGGAGGCGCCCTTCAGGGGGACTGGTGGGTATGAGATCAGCTCCCTGCAGATGCCCAGCAGGCAAGTGGGAGCCAGCGGGCGGGGCAGGCACAGAGCTCTAGTGAAGTTTTGGCACCCCTCAAAGACAGTGCCAGTCCTTGAGACCACCCTAGATGCTCCCAACACCCGGCCCCTTGGAGGCCTGAGGTACGATGCCCACCAGGGCCATTCAGCACCATCCTCAGCCTGTTCATCCCCATCACTCTTCTGGGCCTCAGGTTGTCCATCTGTCTGTCTGCTCCCTTGGTCCTAGGCAGGGCATAACTAACCAGCATGTCCCCAACTGAAATTGTGATGCAGAGAGTGAGATCTTTGCAGACATGAGGACATAGAGGACACAGGAGGGGTCCCAGAGGCTACCTCTCAAGCCTTGTCATCCAGCTGCCTGGGTACACTGCCCCCATTCACCCACTCACAGTGAACGAGTACAGCGATCCCCAAGCCCCTGAAGGAGGCCCCCTCCACTGGGATCCAGCCCATGGTTTGCCAGCCATAGCCCCCAAATGCCATGTGCACTGGCCTCTGGCCCCACAGACTCCTAGGGCAGGGTGTGGGTATCACCAGCCCATTCAACTTGCTCGTTCTTCCCCTCCCCTGCACTCTGAGCCCACACATGCTCACCAGGTGTCAAGGTGTCCCCAGGTCATGCCTGGCCGGAGACTCTTCCAGAAAGATCAGGAGGTTCTAGCCTCAAAAGGAAAGCAGGGCAGATGGTGTGGGAGCCTGTGGGAGACGGTGCCCCAGCCGCATGCAGCCTGCTGTGTTGACACTAACCCTTCTATGGCCAGTGCTTTGTCTGCATCACCTCGCTACTGTCCTCTGACTTCTGCTGGGCTTGCTCCCCACCATGGATGCAACCCTGGGGCAGGTGTGGTGTCAGGCGCTGGCTGTGCTGTTGCTCTGTCACTGACCCAGCCCTGGGTCCACGCTAAGCTGACCCTCCTCTGTGTCCTGTCACCGTTGCAGAGGGGGAAGTGAATGCTGAGGAGGAAGGCTTCGAGAACCTATGGGCCATGGCCTCCACCTTCATTGTCCTTTTCCTCCTGAGCCTCTTCTACAGCACCACAGTCACTCTGTTCAAGGTAGCCCAGTCAGGGGCTAGTGGGGCAGGGGTCCCTGTGGGGCTGTGCAGCCTGGTCCCCAAGAGGGGCTGTGGGAGAGAGGGCGGGAGAAACCCCTCTGGGTGTACGACCCTATTAGAGGCTTTGAGAGCAGGGGCCACTGCATCCACAAGACCTCTGATGGTCATTGATCACCAAGGGTGTGTGGGGGAAGTGTAGCTCTATGAGCAATAGAGCACAATGTCTATCTGCTCACTGCTGGGCTGGAAAAAGGACCCACAGGGGGCTCCAAGGGGACTAGGATCACCCAGGACCATGCGAGCATCAAGAAGATCATTGGTCCTGGGGCCTGCCTCCCACAACCTGCCAGGTTCACTGCAGCCCACTGTTGTTCCAGCAATGGTAGAGTAACTCATGCTATTCTTGTCATCTACAGGTGAAGTGACCCATTGTGGGAAAAATGTCTGAGATCCGAGATGGGACCAGAGGGAGTGCCACCTACGAGCCTTGGGCCCCCCCGGCCTGCGTTCCCTGATCATTTATGCTGCACCCTTTATGTCTTCCTTGGCTTTGAGCTCTAAGAAACAGGTTTCTTTCTAGACATGTGTGCAGAACCCCGGGGCTTCAGACTCTATCCCAAGTGCTGCTTTGTGGTGTAGGCACTTGTGGCCATGAAATAAATGTGTATATATTCTCCTTATACTGCGTTCTTGTGAGGTATTTATGTTTAACCACTTGCCTTTCTTGTTGCAAAGGCAGCTTGGGGAGGGGCCATGTCTCAGCACAGCCCTTGGTGGCAGGGTGCATGGGGCAGGGGTCACATACATCATAATCTGCGGGTTTCAGTCTTCTTGAGGTTGATGGAAGAAAAATGGCTGGGCTGGAGGGAATTCCAGGGCCAGTGTCCAAAACAAGAACTAAGTCAGAACTAGGGGGCTGAGCTTGGGCCTTGGTAGGACTTTTATTTGGGACTCTCTTCATAACTTTCTGCTCACTGAGTTATTACTCCCTACATGGTCCCCAGTGCATGGTCACTTACCATGTGATCACTCACCACACTGTCTTCACTGTGTGATCCTCGCTGTGTGATCACTAATCATGTGGTCCTCACCGTGTGTCCCTCACCACATATCACTCACTGCGTGACCCCCACTACATGTCACTCACTGTGTGGTCCTCACTGTGTGTTCACTCACTACCTGGTCTTCACTATGTCACTTATCAAAAGGTCACTCATCACAGGGTTTCACTGTGTGGTCCTCACAGCTTGGTCTTCACTGTGCAGTCACTCACTTTGTGGACCTCACTGTGTAGGCCTCACTGTATGGACACCCTCTGCCTGGTCCTCACTGAGTGTCACTCACCACATGGCCTCATTGTGTAGTCGCTCACCACATGGTCCTCATTGTGTGGTCCTCACCATGCGTCACTTGCTGCATTATCCTCACTGTGTGGTCACTTGCTACATGGTCCTCACTGTGTGGTAACTTACCATGTTTCACTTGTCATGTGGTTCCTACTGTGTGGTCCTTGCCATGTGTCACTCACTGTGTTGTCGTTACTCAGTCACTCGCTGCTTGGTCACTCACCATGTGATCACTCACTACATGGTACTCCCCGTATGTCCTTACTGTCCCTATTCTCAGCCATCCTACATAACAAGAGGTGTGTGCTCACCCAGGGCAATGGGGGGCACTGTTGCCCAGGCAGGGCACTCTACTTGATGCAGATTCTGTCCCGCTTTGCTTGGGATGAGGTTAACACAGCAGTGGACATTGACATGAGTATGGAAATAGGAGTGGAAGTTTTAGGGTGAACAGGTTAGGTAAGCGCATGGTGAGGAAAGGCTTCTTCACACTGAAAAAATGGAAGTTTGTCACAACCAAGGAGGAATGGGGGAAATGAGGCTCACAGGCAGTCAGGCATGGTGAACTTGGGACCCTCCTCTGGCCATAGTGTGGACAGTGGGGCAGCCAAGAAGCCCACAGGCCATGGGGATGGTCAGGCCATCCATGGCCACTGTGAGAGGAGAAGAAGGACTGAGATAGGGCAGAGCCCAAGGACTCCAGAGGTGCAAGAGGGGGTGTCTGGGGTGGCACCTCAGTGAGGAAAGATGTTGGGATCCAGGCTGAGTCTGGAACAGCCAATGTCAGAGGAGGGCAGCCAGTGCTCCAAGGGTCAGATATCTCAGGGAGGCCTGGGTACTCCACGAGGACCAGATAAGTTTGTCACTGCCAATTCCCACACTACACAGGGCTCACCCAGGCAGCGAAGGACAAGGGCACCAACCCCTGGGACACATATGCAGCCTGGACAACCCCCACCAGTCCCATGTCTCTCAGGTGCTACTGCATACTGGGTGCTGTGGGGGCAGCCCAGAAGTGAGGTTCCCAAGACCTTGGGGAGGAGTAAAAATGTCTGAGACAGGTGCTACAGGCAGTACCCAGCAGTGACTAGGGGAGAGGATCAGGCCTTTTGTTTGGTGGTGGCCCCTGAGTAGGCCTAGGACATCAGGGGTTGGTGGTCATGCTGTGGAAACTCCAAAAATGGTGTGAAGGTGGGACCGAGTCCCAGGCTTCAGGGCGAGCAGGGGTGGATTCTGCCTAAGAGTACTGGTAGAGGGGGGTCAGGTCCCCTCCAGGCTGATCATGGGGCTCTGGGCTTATCACTCAGGGCAACGTCAGGGTGGTGGGTGGATTGTATGGTGGGGACATATGGGATGAGGGAGGACTAAGATGGACAGATCCTCCCAGGATCCAGGGTGGAGCGTAAGCTTGGCCACAGCAGCTCTCCTAGGGAGGAGGACAAGGCCATTCTGGGGCCTCCACCCGTACAGGCAAGCTTGCAGGGGTCAGACCAGATGACTCCAGGGCCAGCCCCTGAGTCTGTCTCTGGGAATGGTGCCCAGCACCAAGAAGGCTCCCTGACCAGGGGTGTCCACCCTCCCCTCTAGGGGCCCAGGGTCCAGAGGTTGGTCTGGAGCAGAGAAGGGTGTGGTAGGGAGAGAGATTCCCCACTTTAGGTTCCCCACTTCCCTGGGTTTTCATCCCCAGAGCTTCTAGCCTCAGACCCTATCTGTGTCTTCTGTGGTCTACCAAAACACTAGCCATGTACCCCTGCTTGTCATGCCTGACATGCTGCTCCTCTGATTTCAGAGAAACTCAGGACTCACCAGAGTACCCTGTGCCACCCTAATTGAAGAACTCTAGGGCATCCACCACCACCAAGACCTCAGCCTCCACCAAGACCCCCACCACCAAGACCACAACTACTGAAGCCCCCCCCCCACCAAAACCCTCATCACCACCAAGAACCCAGGTGAAGAGCCTTGGTCTCATCATTCCTCACCCACCTGCTAGCTGGTTCCTCAGGCTGTCTCCTCCCAGTAGTCCTCCATGACTTCACAGGTGATTCTGCAAGTCACATCCCGGCTAAGGAGGAGAAGCTGAACTAACATCTACCAAGCACCACAGACGTTACCTCATGCCCTGCTGAAGCCATCTGCTGTGCCTGAGGACCCTGCCCAGGCCCCGCTGCAAGGAATGGAGTAACAGAGTGCACAGCCAGCTGTAGGACTTGCCCAACAGGTTCTCAGGAATGTCAGCTGATGGATCTGCCTCTGGACTGAGAGACTAGTGCTGGACACTGATCATCTTGCAAAGTGGCTGGGAATGTAGGAGAAAAGCTCTGTGGCCCTTACAGAGACACAGGGTGTTATTAAAGGGGACAGGAGCCCTCGGCACTGGCAAGGAAGTAACAATAACCATGAGAACACAGACATTTCTGCAGCCGCCTTCCCTGTGCCTGATTGCCTTCTCTCCTCCATCAGCCGGCCTCTCCAAGGGGTGAGACCCGGTAGGGTCAGTTCTAGGGTCACCTCCTCCAGGGCTCTGTGTCCTTGGACAGAGGGGCCTCACCAAGAGCTGTGTTTGGAGAAGTAGAAGGTTCTCGACCCAGATTGGCCTGCCTGGGGTGCATCTAATGTTGGATAGAGCTTGTGGCCAGGGTAGAGAATTGTGTGAGCAAAAGGTGATGAAAGTGCTCTCGGCAGACAGAAAAAGAGGTAGCAGCCTTGCTGCCATGGGTTGAATTGTGTTCCCAAAAATGTATGCTGAAGTCCTAACCCTCCACCTGTAAATATGACCTTGTTTGGAAATAGGGTCTTTGAAGATGTTGTCATTAAGTTAATGAGGTCATATAGGAGTAAAACCAACGAAACAAATCTGTTGCTGTTGACTTGATTCTACTCGTGGAGATCCCATATGTTACAGAGTAGAATTGCTCTGTTAGGTTTTCTTGGCTGTGATCTTTACAGAAGCAGATCACCAGGCATTTGTTCCACAGCTTCTGGGTGGTTTCAGATCTCCGACCTTCCGGTTCATAGTTGAGTACAAACCATTTGTGCCAACTGGGGACCTCATACAGGAGTAGGGTGGATCCTAATCCATCTGAGTCATGTCTAATAAAAGAGGAGAAGAGACACAAGTAGATACACAGGAAGGACGGCCATGTGAAGATGCATCTGCAAGCCAAGGAATGATTGGAGCTCCCAGAAGCCAGAAAGACAAAAAAGAGTCTTTCTCTAGAGACTTCAGAAGGAGCGTAGCCCTGCTGATACCCTGAGTTCTGACTTCTGACCACCATAACTGTGAGAGACTGAATTTCTGTTGTTTTAAGCCACTCACTTTGTGGCACACTGTTACCCAGCCACAGAAAATACATACACTCACCTACCTTCTGGGGTGTTTGAGTTACTGGGGCAAGACACCATGAGGTAGGTCACTGAAAGTAGTAGGCATTCCATGGTAACCCCTGCTGAGATGATGGATTGCAGCATCCTCACTTCATGCCAGGCCAAAGCCTGCTCCCACTGGGCATGTCCAGAAACTCACTTTTCCCAGTCTCCAAACACAAGGCACCCAGACTCGGCTGTTGAGTTCTGAGGGCTCTGAGGAAGAATCTGCTCCTTGCCTCTCTCCTAGCTTCTCGTGTTTCTCAGCTTGTCCTGGCATTACTCCACTCCCTGCCTTGGTTTTCACATGGCCATCTTCCCTTTGTGTCTCTGTGCCTCTTCTCTTATAAGAACACCAGTCATATTAGATTAGGGCCCATTCCAGGTTAACTGATAATATCTGCAAAGACTCTATTTCCAAAAAAGGTCATATTCACATGTAAGGGGATTAGGACTTCAACATGTTTTGGGGGGACAGAAATTAATAGCTAACTCCCCCACACTCCTCTTTCTACAGTGCCTCCCACTGGCCACACCTAGCCAGAAGCCAAGAAGCTGGTCATCAGTGGATGCTGAAATCAAAGGTCAGTTCTTCAAGGCACAGAGATGGGGAGAAGGACGGAGAGTGAATTGGAGGCACCTGAGAACATCTGGCTGCAAGTGAGCCCCGATCCCAGAGGGCAGGAGGCCCTGGGGAGCACAGCACTCCTGGATTTCAGCAAAGTGAGAGACAAAGCCCCTCAGTGGACTGGGGGAGTGGCAGCAGCAGGGCTGCCCAGTAATAAGGGAGGAGGTGCACCCCAGCTGCACCTCTGCAAGCATGTGACCATGATGGTATATGCTAATCAAGCCCACAACCCCCTGGGCTAGGCCACCCCCAGTGGGCAGAAGAGGGAGACCAAGCAGCACTAGG